GTCCTCTGCTCCCTGTGTCACCAACAGAGATCAGCACAGTCAGCAGTGGAGGATAGTGAGAGGATCTTCACTGAGATGATCCGCTCCATTGAGAGAAGATGCTCTGAGGTGACAAAGCTGATCAGAGATCAGGAGAAGGCTGCAGTGAGTCAGGCTGATGGATACATGGAGAGACTGAAGCAGGAGATCGATGAACTGAAGAGGAGACACTCTGAGCTGGAGCAGCTTTCACACACAGAGGATCACATCCATTTCCTCCAGGTAACAGAACAACTAATTTGAGAAGCAGAGTATTATGGCATGACGGAAGGGATGATGCTTGGTGAGGTTTGTTGACAAGGGGTTTTATTGAAAGTGTGCAAAGAAAAACAAAAGGGACCATGGGCGGGTCAAAACAAAGGCAGGAGAGAAAACAAGAACTAAACAGGATATAAACACAAAGAAAACACACAGGAAACACACAGGACTGAGCACAATACAGTACATCCAAGCACATACAAAGACCGACTGAGGAAAAAGGCAAGGGCAGGCACATGCAGGGACATGTGACAAGGCCAGACAAGAAATGACGATTAACCAAACGTTAGGAGTAACAAGACACAGGTGAGGTCATAATCGCGTAACACTAAGGACTGAAACACTAGGAGAAACTAGGTACTGGGATTACAGAACATACTGTACTACAAGACTAAACATAAGCAGGGAAAACTAACAAAGGCACATTGACTAACAATTGGGAAACAACTGATAATGTCCTATAAAGCTGAGGCTGAGTTCAGCCCTAAACCCATGATGGCAGGGAAGTACAGTTTACAGCCACACATTCAGCCCATTCAGCCCATTCAGCCACATGGAGTCCCTGGGAGTTGGGGAACACACTAGGGATAGTGAAGCAAACTAAACACATAAAGAACAGGGTGACCAGCGACACCTACCTGCCAAACAGGGAAAGACAGGGAACGATCCTGACAACATTGTATTCAGATGTATGTATGTTTTGTTTTGTATTTCAACTTGTTTGTCATTTGTCGGAAATGAACGTCACTTTTAATTAGAATTCAATACACATTTGAGACTCAAATGATAAAAAATAGGGTGAATTGAGACTTCTTGTTCATTTGACTTCCTCTGCCGGCCCCAGGAGGATGGGCTCCCCCTTTGAGTCTGGTTAGGGTTAGGGCTTCCTCTGCCGGCCCCAGGAGGATGGGCTCCCCCTCTGAGTCTGGTTCCTCCCAAGGTTTCTTCCTTTTAGGCAGGTTTTCCTTGCTACTCTCACCTCTGACTTGCTCAATACGGGCTTTGGGCAGGGATATTGTAATACTTTTTGAGACAATGTAATGTTGTGAAAATGCACTATGCAAATAAAATTGAATTGAATTGAATTTATTTTTATGAAGCTGTTTATTCATACCATGTGTCTGTAGAGGTGCCAGGGTCTTACTGTCAACCCTGAAGCTGGATTTGGACCCAGAATCTCTGTCAATCCAACCTGCTATTTCGGGAATGTGAGGAAGTTGGTTTCTGAACTGAAGGATCAACTGAAGAATGTTTGTGAAAAGAACACGGCCGACATACATGACAACGGTTAGTAAATAAATACATTTTCCAGTCCATTTACGTTAATATAGACCATGCAGTTATCACAATATGAGAAAGAGCGAAGGACAGGTCTTCACAACAGAAATGCTTTGCAGTACAATGAGCCTCACGTTTGTGTGACCAAGTCAGTTTCTGTTTTCATTAAGATAAAATCATGTTTCTTCTAATTAATTCATCCAAAACCCTTGAGAATTTGCAATAATTTGCAATTTGTTTAAATGCCTGTTATTGTCCCTCATAATGATAATACCCTACTGCTGCTGTATTCACAAATAAATTTCTTTTACTCACATCCCTGTTTCTCTCTGTCTCCTTCTAGTTACCAAAGACACCATCCTACCGGTATTAGTGCCCAGGACCAGAGCAGAATTCTTACAATGTGAGTCTGTTCACACACACGCTTCTCTCTCCCTGTATGAGGTGGAGTGTGTTTTATTGTCTTTCGTTTTCTTCTGCTAGGGGAGCTTCTCTTTCTCTCTCCCGCTGCCTCCTGGCCTTTCACATTTACATGTTATATTGTTCTCTGAGATCTCTATGTTGAGAATATGACCATATACTGTAAACCTATCTATCTATCTATCTATCTATCTATCTATCTATCTATCTATCTATCTATCTATCTATCTATCTATCTATCTATCTATCCTTTTCAAAGTGTTAAAACATACAAAAAGCACACACTCCTGTTTAATATAAGGAGTGAATGAGACCTTCTGATGTTCTCACCATCAGATTCCTGTCAGCTCACTCTGGACTCCAACACAGCAAACAAACGCCTCTGTCTGTCTGAGGGGAACAGAGTGGTGACATGGGAGGAAGAGACACAGTCACATCCTGATCACCAGCAGAGGTTTGACTCACGCCTCCAAGTGCTGTGTACAGAGGGTCTGATTGGGTGCTGCTACTGGGAGGTTGAGTGGAGCGGACGTTCGGTTGGTATAGCCGTCACATATAAAGGGATCAACAGGAAAGGAGGAGGTGATGACAGCTGGCTTGGATACAATGACAAGTCCTGGTGTTTGTACTGCTCAGGCTCCAGTTACTCGTTCCGGCACAATGGGGAGAAAAGTGCGGTATCAGGCCCTCCCTCCCCCAGGATAGGAGTGTACCTGGATCACAGGGCAGGAACTCTGTCCTTCTATGGTATCTCTGACACAGTGACCCTCCTGCACAGGGTCCAGACCACGTTCACTGAGCCCCTCTATCCTGGGTTTCAGCTCTGGAAAAGTGCAGCCAAACTGTGCTGACAAACACATTTCATTAAGTTTGGTTTATTTAATCTTTTGTATAAAAAGTGGAAATAATGGACATAGAAATAAATACAATAAACATACAATATTACATATTTCTTATAAAATATGAATTTGGTGATTTATAGGTAGAAATAAAAAATAATAATAAAAATCTTTTCTACGTTTTTACATGAAATTTCCGTGCTGTGACCCCAAGCTTTCTCTTACCTGTTCATGTGTCTGTGTCTATTCCTTCTGTCATATGAAAATCAATATTTTTACCCAGTGATATTTTTTAGAGATGCTAAAATCAGTATAAATTTACTAAGTGTCGTGCTGTCATGTAAGTTATCTTTATGGAAAATGAACAATGATTGCTGTAATGTTTCCTTTTCCCTGTTTTTGTATACAATTTTTATATAAAAATTTATATAAATATATAAAATTAAATTGAAATATACTTAAAACTCTGTCCTGTGCTTCCTGGAACAGGCTCCCTGAATTGTATAATGTGATTACCCATTAATGGGGAGAAGTGTCAGGATGGGGTGTTTCCCTGTTTGGCCAGCAGGTGTCACTGGCCATTCCATTCACTCCGCTGTGTTGTACAGCTTCACTGTCCCTAAAGTTGACCAGGGATAGTGAATGAACTTGACCAGTTCCCTGTAACTCCTAGTTGCTTGTGTGTATTTGTAGCAGCCCACGCATGTCCCTTGTTGAAACCATGAGTATTTTAAGCCTAGCCCTGAGTATTTTAAGCCTAGCCCTGAGTATTTTAGCCATGATACATGATACCAAACTTCCTTCAAAAAAAAAAGGAAAAAAAAGAACCAGATAAACTTGACTTAGCCCTTGATCTTTGCAATAGCTAGAAACTCCCCTGGTTGAAACCATGTAATCTGTGTACGTATGTGTCTGCCTATCAGTGTTAATTTTGGCAAGAATTTTTAATTTAGGTTTAGTCTTAGTCACCAGAACTCCGGTTTAATTTTAGTCAATTTTTTTGTCATAATTTTATCATTATTACTGAAGGATATTCCTCCTGACTGTACAAATACCCTTGAAATATAAGCATACCTTATACGTAAGTATATCCTATGATGCTTAGTCATTTAGGCTGGAAATGTGTTACTCACTTAATAATAATTCTTTCATATACAAAAATGAAGGCCTAAAAAAATCAATACAATCATATTTCCTTCACAGGTCGTATTTTTTCACACATACTTTCCCCAGTTTCATTTTTGTTATTAGGGCATTAAAACACCCATCAAATTTAACTGCATGGCCATTTCATACTCTAATAATTTTTGTTATTAGGGCATAAAAACACCTATTTAACTGTGTGCAAAACCTGTCTTCACAATTTACAATAACCCTTCTTCAAAAACAGAAAGTACATAATACAGTAAAATTGCTGAAACGACAAAAAGGGACATTAGTGTGGCATTGTTAGTTTCCCTTCACTTTCATGCATGTTTTACCCTTCACTGTTCTCTACCCGTATGTTTTAGGACCCCCTTAAACAAATTCCACGATGTGGTCACCAGGGTCCAATTCGCTCGTCAGCTCTCCGAGAAAGTCACCCAAAGGGGGCATCCAGTCCTACGGCTTGCTGACAAATATGACAGAGTCCGTGTCGTGATACAGCGTGCTCGTCCCTAAGCGATCCACGAGGTTGTAATGCCCAAGCCTAGCATACGCTGTAGTGAAAGCCGTAATAAACACATTGACAAGTCGCACCGCAAAAGGGAACCCCTTTATGTCCCGCCACTGAACCAATGCCACATCATCATTCAGAAATACAAAAGTGTCCACTTCAAACTGCTTTGAAAACATTCTTCAAAGACTTCTGGATCTTTGATATCTTTGACCAAACTTTCCCCGAGGCTGTTCAAGAACAATTTGGAAATTTGGAGTTTCACTTTGTTCACACTGATATTTTCAGGGTTAAAACGGATACCCTCCTTCTCAAAGTACTGTGTGGTCTGGATGTACCTCTCTTTATCCTCATCAATCTTTACCCAGGAGGGCTAACCTGAAGCCTCTTGTTTACTTTTAAGTGGTTGTTAATATAGTCTGCAAAGAGAGCGGATGTTCTGTTGGTGAAATGCCAGACCTCATAAATCTTGGCAATTTTATCACCCTTTTCAACACCCTTGTTAATTTCAACACTGCACCACGTGCCGAACGGCGCCCTCTGCTCATATGAATGATTGCAGTGTGCCGGGGTACCTGTAAAGCAACACCAGCAGATAAAGCCTTCTTGGGGGGTAAACCTTGGCTTCGATTAAATCGAAACAATTTTCAATACACATCAAAAATCACAGTAGATCATTTTGGAATGTCCTGTCGGATACTCCTTAAACTTGTTGACAGAGGGTAAAGACTCATAAAGTCATAGTAATCTATCGGCTCATTGCTATTTAT